GGGGGTTTATCAGAGGAAGGTGGAGAGTAGGAGCTAAAGTGGAAGGCAAGGGTTGGGCATGTCATGGAGAGTCTCCAATGCCCACTTACTCTGGTAGGCAGTGGGGAGCCATGGAAGGTTATTAAGCAGGGAGGAAGGGGATTAGATGTGGAGAAACCAAAAGCTGGGGAACTGTAAGAGGACCAGGCGACAATACAGGGCCACCAGAGGAGGGAGTGGGACGGGAGGGTTTGTGGGGAGAGGGCAGGCTGGGCCTGAGAGGCATCCTTTGGTTGAACTCTGACTTGGAAGGGAGGAGGGATGGGATGGAGAGGAGGGAGGGGCTCCCGGAGGGGACCCAGGCACAGGGCAGGCTGGGCGGAGGGCCAGGAGTTGGATGCTGGTTGGCTTGAGTCTAAGGTGCCTCTGGGCTTCTGACAGCAAGTCCGGGAAGTGGCTGGAAAGAAGCCAGAGTGAGTGGGGTTGTTTTTGTCAACTTTCCCAAAGCTGGGAAGGAGCCAGGTCAAGATCTGAACCCAGGTCTGTTTCCCTCTGATGTCTGTAGGTTCACAGTGAGGGACCAGCAAAGGGGTACCTTCGGGTCCTGGATTCTGAGCTTGGCAGAGAGATGAGCTGCGCTTACCCAGGAAGGAGCTGGTGCTTTTCTTGGGGGCACTGCAGCCATCCCGCTGCCACAGAGCCCAGCAAACTCAGGGGCTCTGCAGGCAGGACTTTCAAGCCCAAACTTCTGCTCTGCAGAGGGGCCGTTTCTAACCAGCTCCCGCTTTCCTGATCGCCCAGCACCAGTTCGCCACCTGGAGCTGACATTAGCTGTGTACAGCCCAGTGCCCCAGACAGTACAGGCTTCCTCTCATTAATCCTCACAAAGCCCCTTCAGGGAGGCGTTAATATTATCGTTTCCATTGTATAGATGAAGGAACCGACCGAACCTTCCAGAGGTGAAGGGCCTTGCCCCCCTCCACTGTGGGGGTGGGGAGTGGGTCAGGTTGGCCCAGCAGCTCTCTGGAGGGACCCCACCCCACCCTGATTTCAAGTCTGCAGTCCCAGCTCCCAGGACTTTCCCAGCACCCCCACCACCCCCATTCTGTTCTTCATGGCCCAGCTCCCTTGGGAACAGCCAGACCCGCCCCTCCCCCTCCCGGGCTGTGCTCTTGGCAGCTCTGCCGCCCTGGGCTCTGGTCCGGGGGCGGTCCCCGGCGGTGAGAGGGGCGGGTGGGCAGAAGCTGGGATCAGTTGGGCTGAGACTGGGGCATGCAGAGATCCCCAGGGCCCCACCTCTCGGTCCACGGTGCTCCAGGCTGGAGTGGGCAGGGCCCTTTGGAAAGGGGTGGCTTGAGGTTTAATCACTTTATCAATGTTTGTTTGTGTAATTCAGCCCTGAGATGCTTTTCCTTCCATCTGTCCTCACCATCTGCTCCCATCAGGATTTTCCAAACCATTTGGGACCTAAGAGGGGAGGGTGGGGGCTGTGCCTCTGAGGGGGCTGGGGAGGGGCTGCCTCCCCCTACCTCACTGAGAGCTTCCAGAGGAGAGCCTGGGCTCCTGTGTCACATGGAACTGGGTTCAAATTCTGGCATTGTTACTTTCTTGTTGTATTACCTCCAGCAGGTGACCTGACATCCCTGAGCCTCAGTCTCCACGTCTGTGAACCAGCAGTAACATTATTGACTCCTCAGGATTATTTCAGATCAAAGGAGGTGATACATGCAAAGTACTCTGCATATAGTAGGTGCTCAAGAGATAGGCAGTCCCGGCATGCCTGGGTGGCTCTGTCAGTTAAGCGTCTGCCTTCGGCTCAGGTCATGATCCCAGGGTTCTGGGATCGAGTCCTGCATCGGGCTCCCTGCTCAGCGGGGAGCCTGCTTCTCCCTCTGCCTGTCGCTTCCCCTGCTTGTTCTCTCTCTCTCTGACAAATAAATAAATAAAATCTTAAAAAGAGAGAGAGAGAGAGATAGGCAGTCCCCTCTCCATTCATCCCCCACTTGCTTCTCTCTCTGGCATCCCTCTCTAGTGCTAGAGGGGTGTAGCCACCTCTGGTTTCTATAACCCAGCCCCATTCCTCAAATCCTGGGGACACCCCTTCCCTGGGACTTCCACTTTCTTCCAGCCCCCCTGGGTCCTGCCCATTGCTCAGTTCTCTCAATGACCCCACTCAGCATCTATCCTAAGCTGTGCTTCTCCCTCCCTCCTAGATGCTTCAGTTTGGGTTGAGAGGGAGTGAGCATCATCAGCAAGGACACCCCCCACCCTCACCCCCATAATAGGCCTTCATAGAGCCTTTCAAACCTACAGGGTTCCAGAGCCACTCGGGCCTCATCTCTACTCTGCTCATGCCCAGAATTTCAGGCCTGTGAGGGGTCTGTGAGGCAGTAAATGAGGCCCGTCTTGTCAGTACTCTGGTCAGGGGTTTCGACTGGGGATATCAAGACACCCAGATCACTTGTCTAAACTCCCTGCTCCAAAAGGGGAAGAGACTTGCTCCAGGTCACCCAGAAGTGAGGGACCCAGGCAGGCCTCCTGACAGCTGCCCCTCTGGCCCCCTTTCCTGGGCTATATCTCAGGGCACTAGGTCTTGGGCCAAGGGTCTTTGGTGTGCAGTGTGGGGGAGTCTTAAGCCCTCTGCTTTGGCTCAGGGGGGTCTCCCAGTGCTTCCTAGGCCCCCAAGAGGGGAAAGGTGACTGATGGGAAGTAGTGCAGAGCCTACCCGAATCCAAACTCTGCCCCCAGATCTACCCAACTCATTCCAGGTGCAGGGAAAATCCAAGGGAGGTGAGGCCTCCAGGGAGAGAAGACATGGTCCTGCCTTCAGGAGGCCCATCTCCTGGGGAGACAGGATTCGGACTGGAGGTCCTGAGGGCAGGGCAACAAAGTTACCCTCACAGGGAAGAAAAACTGTGGGGATGGAAGGCTCCTGAGGGGCTAAGCCAAGAAGTCAGCCTGGAGGAGGTGAAGCTGGGGTGGGGAAGTGGGAGAAAGCAGAGATAGTGGCTAAGCAGCACCCTGTGAGGGTAAACTGAGACCTCCTGAGGATGGAGAGGAGGATCCAGACCAGGCTGGGAAGATTCTCTGGCTTCAGGCCGAGAGAGAGGAAGGAGGGAGAGTGGGAGGGGAAGCCCCGTTAGTGAATGCATCCAGCCCCAAACAGGGAAGGCTCTCCAGGCCTAGTGGGGAGGATGGAGGGAGCTTGTCACTCCAAGGACCTGGGGTGGGGGCTGAGTGGCAAGTCTCTCCCTGCCCCCAGGTCCTCCCACCGGAGGCAGCTGGGAATCACCCACACATGTCTGGCGTCTCTCACGCCTCCACTGGGGGTCCCAACACCAGAGCCAAGGCACACAGAGGAACTGATGTTCCAGAGGGCCCAACTGCCCCCCCCATCCCTCCGCCTGGCTCCCCAGCTCCTCCAGCTGAGACCTCCTCCATCCTCAAGCAGGAAGGACTAAGGCTAGACTTTGATCACCTAAACTGCTCAGTCTGGGACCTGGAGAGCCAGGGGCCTCCCAGCAGCTGCCACCAAGCTGGGAGGAGCTGTCCAGTCAGAAGGCAAATGCTGTGCCTTCACCTTCAAAGTAACCAGACCCATCTCTCTCTCCCTGAAGCGGCCCCCTGCTTCTACCCTGGCCCCCACTCCTCAAAGTCTGTTCTTTACAAAATGCCCGAGTAGGCTTGACCTGAAAGTCAGATGCTCACTCTGCTCAAAGCCCCATCTCACCTGGAATAAAATCTAAAGTCCTTGGAATGGTCCTAAGCACAGCCACCATCCCAACCTCTGAACACCTGTCTCAATTTTTCCTCAAACACTTATCTAATATATCATAGGATTGACTAGTATATTTTGTCCATTGTTTACTGCCCACTTCTGTAACCCCACTGCCTAGAACAATGCTGGGCACAGAAATAGTGCTTGATGAATATTTGTGCAATGAATGGATGAGGACATATGGACTCAAGTCCAAGCCTTCCACTCAACAGCTGTGAGACACGGGAAAAATCATTTAACCCCTCTGAACCTCAGGTTGCTCATTTATGAAGAGGAGACAGTAAGGACCACCTCCTAAAGACAAAGGACAAAATTCAAGCTCAGGATGTGGGGATTGTTGCAGAAGCTGGGGGAAGGAGGATGCAGCCCCCATCCTTGGCAGGAGGAGCTGCGATGGGGGTCAGTGACTCTGGAGAAGGGCTGTCCTGTCTACGGGTGAGATGCCCACGCACTTCAGAACTCCCCCCAGGCTGGAGATGCTTGCTCCCCCGTCTTCACATATGACCAGAGGTGGAGGATGGAGGGGGGTATGAGAGGAGCAATTTAGATCAATGTTGGGAGGTGGGATTCATTCTGAGAGGAGTCCTGGGATGAGATCCGGGGCGGTGGGCAGGAGATGGGGGCGGGGCTCTCTAAGGCCGAGGTGGGGTAGGGGGCGTGTCTGGCCCCCAGAAGACCTCCCGGACTGGAAGAGTGGGCGCTGCCCCCTCGCGGAAGAGCCCCCAGCTCAGTTAGTTCGCGAGCTGAGGCGCGGGGGTAGGGAGGGTGCCTATCGAACCGCCCAGGCGCCGGATTCCGCCCGCGGAGGGAAGTGCAGCTCCGCGCCCAGGTAGGAATGGGGGAGGAAGGCGGGCGGCGCGGCCGGGGTTGTCCCCGGTTCGGAAAGAGGTCTCTGGGCACTGACCCCCGCGACCCCACTTGGGCTACCTGAGTCGAGATGCTGAGGAGATGGAGACCTCTGTCCTCTTCCCCGGGCGGGCGCTCCCTCGTGAGGGGGCCAGGGAAGTGAGGGCGACCCCTTCCCTCTCGCGGGCAGGGGTGGGGGCGGAGTCAAGCGCACCGCTCCCCCCGCCCCCCGCCCGGGGGCTGGAGGGAAAGGGGAGGAACGGGGACCCCTCAGGGGAGGGGCTCCGGGCGAACGCCGCGGGGCGTCTCCCTGGCAGTCCCTCCCCCCGCCCCCCGCCCGCCCCTCCGGCCGCCTCTGCCGCCGCGCGCCGCAGCAGCGCCGCCTTCCCTGCGCAGTCGGTGTCTCAGCGTCGCTGGGTGAGTGGGGGCCCCTCCGGCCGGGGCTGGGGGATGCGGGGAGGGGACAGCCCGGAGGGAGGGGACCCCGTCGAGCCTCTCCAACCCCGCCGCTCCCGCGCCTCCCGGGAAGCCTGCTTCCGAGGGCGCAGGGTGAGAAGGGGGCTGCCCGGAGGGGAAGAGCGCGGCGCTCTCCAGGGTCCTGACCGCCGAGTGGGCCAGCCGGGAGGAGTCGCGTTCCGGCCGCCTCGGAGCGCCCCCTCCAGGAGGGGCCCCGCGCCCGGCGCTCTGAAGCGTGGGCTCAGGGCGAGAGCTGGGGAGAGGTTTGGAGAGGGTCCCCGGGGTGAGTTTCTCAGGTCGAGCTGTGGGTCCTTCCCATTTGGGGGACGAGGGGTCTTTGCGGAGACAACAGAATCTCCTACCACCCTCGTTTCCAAGTCTCCCGATTGGGAGGGGCCGCTCTGAGGGTGGCAGGGTGGAGGGGGCACTGGAAGATCTCTCCTGCTCAGTGCATCTCTCTGCCCCCGCCCCGATGACCCAGTTCCTTGGACCTTGAGGAGGGGACTAAGGGACACACTCCTCCGCCTCAGGCCCACGCATTTCCTCAGTCCCCTCCCACACACTTGTTCACTGGGTCCTCAGTCTGGGGCAGAAGAGGCTGCTTTAGAAAGGAGGGTCACCAACTTACAAAAACATGTATGTGACACACTGCTGAGGACACACACAAGCCCCCCAAATGGCCACGCAGGCACATCACCCTCATACAGTGATGGGTGCATACCTAGTCACATGCACATATATAGACTGAAACACACGGGAGTCAAAGGCAATTTAGAAACCAGGGGCATACGTGCATACATGAGCACAAGCACTCGCACACATGCTCATCCACATGTGCACAGAGCTTCGTGCAAATGCACACACAAGGAACCCCCTCACCCTGTCTCACTCCCAGCGCCAAGCTGGGGGGAGGGATTCACCTGAATGCACCCCTCCATCCCTGCCTGGAACTGCCTGGCTGTCTCCTCTCCATTGCCTTCTCCTCAGCCCTCCACACCCTAACCTCCTACATGAAAAGGTAAGTATTGGGGGAGGGTTGGCCGGCCAGGGCTCTCTCTGGACGAGAGACCCCTAGTAGGCCTGAGAAGGGCTGCAGCTCCCTCTCCTGGGACCTTGAAGCACCCCTGGGAAAAGAAAGATGGCAAAGGTGCCTGAGGGTCCCACGTGCAGCTGGCCATGTGAGAGGTGTCAGCATGGGAGTTGGCTTCTGATGGCATGTGTGAGACATGTGGGGTCGTGGGCTGGTGTCTTGATGCACAGGGTAAGGGAGCTGTTCGTGAGTGGTGCCTTGTGTCAGAACATGTGAGTTGTGGAACAGAGGGAATGGTGTCATGTGTGGAGGCATGGTGACCCATGGGTGGCTGTGGGCTGGTAGGTGAGCGGCATGGAAGCCAGTGTGTGGATTTGGTGAGCTGTGCAGCATAATACGTGTGTGTATTCATTTGTATATTGTCGTGCATGAGTCTTGTGGCATCTGGGTCTGTGTAAATCATTTTTATTTAACACTTAAGTGGCACATGGAGGTGCAGGCATCATTCTAAGTGCTTCACATGTATTAACTCACTTAATCCTCACAGTAATGAGGTAGGTACTATTACCCTCACTTTACAGATGGGGCAGAGAGAGTATAAGGAGCTCGTCTAAGGGCACCTGGCTGGTAAGAGGCAGAGCTGAGATTCAAACCCAGGTGGTCTGGCTCTGGTGCCTTGTGCTGGCCTTTGTCAGGCACATGTGTGTGGTCAATGTCTGGGCTGCAGGTGTATTTTGTAGCAAGCAGGCATTTATGAGTCAATGAAGGAGCAGGAGGGAGGGGGGAGGACCAAAAGGCCTTTTGCACCTCCCTGGGCAACTCTGGGAGTCGGTCCTGTCACTCCATGGCTGCATGACCTGAACCAGGTCACCTCGATTCCTTGAGCCTACCTTCTCATCTGTAAAGTGGGGCTAATCCCCAGACTTCACTTGGTGAGGGTGAAATGGTATACACCTGTGACCACCCATTGTCTGGTGCTGAGCAAGCCATCAGTAAATGGGAGCCCCCTTCCCTTCCTCTGTCTCCTGGTCTGTTCCCTGGGAACGTATAAGGTCTGGGGAGATGGTGTGGATCACAGAGGCAGGATGCAGACTTTGGGCCAGCTCCTCTTTCCCCGGGTCAGATGAGAGGCCGGGGGGCTGGGTCTGGGGGCCTTTCTGGAGTGGTGTCAAGGTGCCAAGAGGGCCTGACCATTCCTTTCTACCCCTTGACCCCCTCGGGGACCCAGGTGGGAGTTGGCTTGGCGGCGATGGGCAAGCAGAACAGCAAGCTGCGGCCGGAGATGCTGCAGGACCTGCGGGAGAACACGGAGTTCTCGGAGCTGGAGCTGCAGGAGTGGTACAAGGGCTTCCTCAAGGACTGTCCCACAGGCATCCTCAACGTGGATGAGTTCAAGAAGATCTACGCCAACTTCTTCCCATATGGCGACGCCTCCAAATTTGCCGAGCACGTCTTCCGCACGTTTGACACCAACAGCGACGGCACCATTGACTTCCGGGAGTTCATCATCGCGCTGAGCGTGACCTCGCGCGGCCGCCTGGAGCAGAAGCTCATGTGGGCCTTCAGCATGTACGACCTGGATGGCAACGGCTACATCAGCCGCGAGGAGATGCTCGAGATCGTGCAGGTGGGCCCCTGGGCCCCTCAGAATGCCAGGCGCAGGGCCAGGCCACTGGCACCCGCCATCCCTGTTTGTCCTCTCAGCTGCCCTTGTGGGTAGATAGGGGCAGGTGCTACTCTTGTGACCCATTTGAACAACCATTAGGAAATAATTTCCAGTTTTAAGAAAAGTTCAGAAAACTCCCATATACCCTTTACCCAGATTCACCAATTAACTTTTGCCATATTTGCTTTATCATTGCGTGCATGTACTGCTTTGTCGTTCTGAACATGACCCTCTAACCCCAACTACATCAGGATATATTTCCTAAGAACAGGGACATACTCTTAACATAACCCATAATATGATTATTAGAGTCAGGACGTTTAATATAGAAAGAATGCTATTATCTAACTTACAGACCACATTCCAATTTTGCCAACTGTCTCGAAATGTCCTTTATAGCCCCTTTTACCCAGGTCCAGGATCCCACATTGCATTTCGTTATCATGTCTCTTTAGCTGCCTTTAATCTGTAACAGCTCCTCAGCCTTTGTCTCTCAAAACTTGACATTTCTTCAGAGTACAGGCCACTGATGTTTCATTGATCCTCATTTACTCAGTAGAAAATGGATGGTCAGAGAGGTCAAGACATTCGCCCAAGGCCACACAGCCCATGAGTGGACCACCTGGCTCCACCGTCCACTCTCCATCGGGACACCCAGGCACCTTTCAACTGACTGAAGGCCCATTAAGAGCCTAGTACTAACTGACATGTTTATAACCACAAGCCAGTGCATCCTTACCATAACTCCACGAGGCTCAGAGAGATGAAGTAACTTGCCCAAGGTCACAGAGAGTGTAAGTGGAGTTAAGTTCAAGCTGGCCACTACTCAGAGCTGCCCCTGGAAAGGGGTCTGGCTTCCAGTTCTGGAGTTGGCTTCAACTCTTAGATTTCTCATTTGTAAAATGGGGATGATGATACTGACCTCACAGTGAGATTTAAGGATCTGATGTGAATGCCCTTTCTTAGTACAAGTTTAAGTGTAACACAGGTTAGCTCTACCTCAGAAATCTTCCAGAGTGCCCATCTCTTCAACCTGTCATTGAAGTCCATCAGGGCTCTGGTTCTATTTTACCTATCCAGTTCTTAGTTCACTTTTTGCCTGAGCCTGTGTTTCTTCACGCAGATAGTGGGGGTGTTAGCCCCCCACTTCACCAGCCTATTGTAGGTATAGAGTGGGATGGGGGCTCCAGCAGATGGTCCAGCATATAATTGTTACTTGGTAAATGTTAGAAGTTGTCAGTTACTGTTGTCTCCTCTGCACATTCTCTACTCTAGCCAGAATGGCCTTTTCAACATCCTTGGGATATGCCCCGAGTAATCCCACTACACAGCTTTGCACAAGCTTGCTCCCTTTCCTTTTGCCTCTCTGAATCCTGTTCCTCTGGTCCCTCAGCTCGGCTGCTTCCCCTTCCATCTCATCCAGTCCCTCCTGGATTCTTGCTTTGGCTTCTCTCTTGCTAAGCATCGCGGTCCACTCTCTTGAGCTAGAGTAGGATGTGGTGCCCTCCCTGTGCCTATTGTTAGGGGTAAAGCCTTAATGTCTGTCTGTGACTCCCATGGGCCAGGCATTAACTCTCTAGTTGATGGCTAGTGGGAAGTTCTGGGGGTCCTGGTGGAAGGGTTGGGGCAGGTGGGGTGATGGAAGATCACTCAGGGATTGGGCAGCAGCTGGATACCAACCAATATGAGGGATGTTGACGCTTTACCACTTGGTGTGGTTGCACTGGGATATACTGGTAAATCTCGGCCCTGTTGGAGGCACTGGGATATACTGGTAAATCTTGGCCCTACTGGAGGCACTGGAATATACTGGTAAATCTCGGCCCTATTGGAGGCGCCAAGCCCAAGACGTCAGTCAAGCCAGCCTCATTGGTTGGGCATCCTCAGGACCCCTTCCTGCCCAGCCTCTGCTACCTAGGCCCCGATTCCCTTTATGGCAGCCGCGGGCCCCGAGATGGCCAGCTCAGAGCTCTGCCAACGCCAGTGACTGGTTAGTTACATGCCGGCTCCAGTGAAACAATGAGTGCACAGCAATTCCAGACAATTAATGAGGAGGTCCAGGAGCGGGCTGTCATGAGCAGAGCAGTGACTCTCTAAGTCACTCGCCCATCCTTCTCAGGACCCAACCCTGTGGTCCGGTGGTGGGCACATTGCAAGGGAAAACACTGCATCTCGGCCTCTTGGGGCTCCTACTCTGGTGGGAGAGAACAAGTGTGCAGCCCACACTTGTTGGCATCTGGGAGTCTAGGGGACTGAAAGGCAGGGAAGACCTGAGGATGTGGTGGATGAGTAATGACCATAATATAAGCTGCTGTTTCCTGACCACCTACTCTAGCCAGCTACTATTCCAACTGTACACACTGTCTCATTCAATCCTCTAGGCAGGCCCCATGAGGGAGACGTGAGTAAACCGAGGCTCACAGAGGTAGGGACTTGTCCGATAAAGTGATTAGTGGAACCAGGATGCCACTCCAGGTACATCTTCCTTTAAAGTCCCTGCTGGTCATTAGCACCCACGAGTGTCTATCCAGCAGCTACGAAGAAGCGGATTCTAATTCAGTCTCTGGCGTCAACTCCCTTCCCAAGCCTGCATTTCTTACCTGGAAAATGGGGATCTTGATACCTGCTTTTCAGGGCTGTTGTGAAGTTGAGAAATAATGCGTGTAAAGTACCTGGCACATAGCAGGTGCCTGATAAGTGGCAGCTGGTATTACTGTCCCAGGTGGAAGCTATCCAATCTGGGAAACCTGAAAGGCGTGGAGGTGTTTGGTGATGGCAGGGTCACCTACCGGGGGAGGCCTGATGATGGAGAGGTCAGCAAGGACCGGAGTGCCAAGTACCTTGAGTTCCTAGGGCCGAATGGTTTGGACTTGATAGAGCAGTGAGAGGTGCCAAAGCCTTTTAAACGGTGGAGTCCCTGCCAGATGCCAGGCACTGTGCTAAGTTCTGAGGATATGGGCACTAGCTAGATGTCCATGATCTTCATCTGTAGGCTGGGGACTAGGAGCAATCCTACAAAGGCAAAATTACTTCCAGAGAGGTGTCCCCAAAGGAAAAGCCCAGGAGACTCTGGGCCAGATATGGGCCTTGACCCAGCAGGGATCAGAGAAGGCCCCTGGAAGAAAGTGCCATGTAAGTTGCGTCCCAAGGAAGAGTGGGAGGCAGCAGAAGGAGCGTGGGGCAGCATCCAGAAGGAGCTGGGTGCACGGTAGGCCTGGAGGGAAGCCTGTGTGTGTGACAGGAACGAGGGGGCGGCCCATTGGGCTGAGGACGTGGCGGTGGAGATGTGTTTGGAAAGCTTTCAGAAGCAGCATGGGGGACAGACCTGAGGGAAAGAGACCAGTACGGAGGCTGGAGCCGGATCTAAGGCAAGGGAAATTTTGGGGATGGGAGAAGGGAGGCTTCTTGGCGGAGGTGTCAGTAGCAAAAAGCTGGAAGATTGGGCGATCGGTCTGAGTTCTGGGGCGCTGGGACCCAGCCTAGCCCATAGGCCAAGCCCTACGTGTTCTGCGTACATTTAGCACAAATACCCTCCTTCGCGTTGCCTCCAGAGATCCTGCACGTGGCAGCTGCAGTTCTGGGCTCAACTGAGCGCATGCTGTCCCCGCCCCTGGCAGATGCTCATTTGAGTTTATTTGCATAACGTCTCCGCCCCCTCTGGGCCCAGCTGCTCCGCGCCCTCCAGCCCTTAGTGCGGCCCTGCGCCCCCTGCCGGCCACAGAGGCAGCGCAGCCCAATGTCACCTCCTCCGCCCAGCGCCCCCTGCAGGCCCCCGAGCGCGGGCCGCCCAGAGCCCCGAAGTTTCAGAAAAGCAACGCTAAGCCGGGACTTAGCCTGGAGCCCGCGGCGCCCAGTGTTCTAGCCCCTTCGCTATCTGGGCCCTGATATCCTCCAACATCTCTCCTGGCCCCCTGCACTCAGACACCCCCAAATTCTCGGTGCCCACTCAGAGCTTCCCGCTGCCGGTCCTTTGTACGTGCAGATTGTCCTGCCAGCAATGCCTTTCCCACCCTGCGCTCCAAGGGAACTTGGTCGGGGCCCGCTCCAATAGCCCCCTCTTTTGGGAAGCCTTCCCAGACACTTCTTCCTGAACCCCCCCTCTCCGTCCTCCCAGTTCTCCTCCGTAACCACCTCTCCACCTCACCCAAGAGGAGCTGCAATCTTCTGCGTGCCTGGGGGCGGTTTTGGATGATGGGGCCGGGGGGCTCGGGCAGGCTCCTCTCACTCCCTGCCTCCCCCTCCCGCCCCTCAGGCCATTTACAAGATGGTTTCGTCCGTGATGAAGATGCCGGAGGACGAGTCGACCCCAGAAAAGAGGACCGAGAAAATCTTCCGCCAAATGGACACAAACAACGACGGTGAGGGGCAGGGGCGGGGCGGGGCGGGCGCCACTCCCCCTTCCTCTACCGCTGCTCTGCTCTGCCTACCCTCTTTGCGCGGCCGCCTTCTCCATCACTGCTCCCCTCGCCCCGCAGGCAAGCTGTCCCTGGAGGAGTTCATCCGCGGGGCCAAAAGCGACCCGTCCATCGTGCGCCTGCTGCAGTGCGACCCCAGCAGCGCCTCCCAGTTCTGAGCGAGAGGACCCAGGTTCCCCCTGCTCCCTGCCTTCACTGGCCCTCTCCCGGCTCTCAGCTTCCTCTCCCTTGTGTCTATCCGGCCTGGGGGTCAGACCGGGCACCTCCCCCCAGGGCCTGCACTCTGGGGTCTGTGGAGAAGGGAACCCCGCAGTACCCCCAAGACCCAAGCAAGTAAGCGGTCAGCACCGTCAATCCGAGAGGCGGTATCTCCCTTAGGCAAGGATTGAGACGCAGGCTCTGGCCGGATCTGCCCTCCCTCACCCAGAGGGAACTTTAACCATTCTCCCCCGCCCCCACCTGCCCCCAGACCCACACGCAGCCTCGGGCTCCTCCCCCCAACCACCGGGCAAGCTCCCCAACCCCCACCCCCGCCCTTGTAGCTCTCAGTCAGGGTGGAGAGGCAATCATGCCCAGGTGAGGAGGCTGTCTTCGTTTGGAAAGGAGAGAAGGATTCCAGGGGTGTGGGGGTTTGAGGAAAAAGCTTCCTTGAGCCATCCTTTCCTGCAGGAAGGCCTCAACCCTTCCTGTTCCACCGCTCTTGCTGGCCCGGAGGCAAGGATGCAAAAGGAAAACCTCCGGGTTCTAGCCTCCCAGCTGTGGGTCCCATGAACCCCCCCACCTGCCTTTCAGCACTTGGATGAACACAGACCCACTGATCCCTCTGTGTACTTTTCCTCTCTCAGACACACACACACACACACACACACACACAGGCCCACGGATGGGCAGACACACCCAGAGCCCCACCCACAGCATTCTGTGTGGGAAAACAGCACAGGCCCCCCGGCCAAGTCCCCTCCCCTGCTGCATGCATCCACGTGGAGCATCTCTGTTCTTTTTAATAACTTCAGAATAAAGTCTCATTTCAGTGCAGTGGGCTGGGTAGCTGAGGGAGGGGGTGGAAAGCCCTACTGGGGTCCCTGAGTGACCAGTGAGCCCTCTGGGGTCTGCTCCAGGAACTCTGGCCTGGTCACAGCGCAGACTGGGTTGTGGGGCCCTAGTGGTCATGGGGCCTGGATGGGGCATCAGCTCTCAGAGGGTCAGCGGCTCAGAGCTGGTGCAGCTCAGCAGGTCATGGCCCTCCACAGGCTCTGGGCTCTCCTGCATCTGCGGAGACACAAGAGGGTACCAGGGTCTGGGTCTGCTCCTCCAGGACATCTGGGGGCTGGGAGGATGTTGGGAGCAAAAGGGCATCACTACTCCCTCCCATACAACAGCCAGGCCATACCCTTGGAGTGCCCCCAGTTTGAGTCCAAATTACCCCCCCCACACAAGATTCATCCCGGCCCTTGGGGGAGCCAGGTTTCAGCTGTGTGTCTTAGCTGGGAGATCTGACCTCTCTAAGCCTCCAAGCTGCTCCCTTTTGTCCTGGGGAAAAAAGTTTTGCCCCATTTCTCAAGGCAAGGGCCCCATACAGAGGGGTGGGGGCAGACCACCCCTCCCCAGCAAGGGCTCCCGGAAATATGGGGAGTCAGGACTGATGGAGGGGGTGGCAGGCCTTACCACGTGGTGGCTGCTTTTCCCCCACCAGGGCCTCAGTTCCAGCAGCTGGTGGGTGAGCTGGGCGCAGCGCACAGCAAACACACTCTCGGCCACGCAGAACACTAGTGAGATGCCCCAGAGGCACAGGCTGGAGCTCTGTAGGGGCACAAGGGGCAGGATGGACAGGAGGGGGTCTCCAAGAACCCCTCCCACCTCTGATGAGCACCTTGATGTCTCCCCCCACCCTGCCCCCCGCCCCACCGCCCCTGCCATCCCGGGCCTAAGCACTCACGTAAATGCGTGTGGGGTCGAAGGGACAGTCGGGCACCAGTACCAGCACTTCGGGGCTTCCAAAAGTGCAGGTGGCCAGCAGTGCCCGGCCCTGGGTGGCAAAGGTCACGGCGATCGAGGCCAAGAGGCCCAGAGCACAGGTCAGAGACAGAAGGGCACAGGCCACGCTCGAGCTAAACACTGTCCAGCGCTGGATGGGGGAGGCCACCGGTCAATGGATGTCAGGCTTGGCCCCCATGGGGTCAGCCTTGCTCCCTCCAGGCAGGCCAGGCCCTTGGGGGTGGCCGCTGCCCCTACAGCCCCTCCCAGGAGGAGCCACATACCAGGGGGACAATGGGCAGGTAGCGGGACAGCACGATGGCTGCAATGCCTGAGACGATGACCTGCGGGGAAGGAGATTGGGCAGGGGGTCAGGGCCACTCTCGGACAAAGACTCCGTTGGCGCTAACTCTGGCCCTCCCGGCCCCCAGCCCTCACCCCGGCTCTGCTTTGGCCTCACCACCTCCATCTGCACAGAGGCACTGCCTCCTCACGGTCCAGCCCTGAAGAGACGTTTCTAATACCCGGTAACTCCCTGTCTACAACCTTCCGTGACTCCTCACTGCTTCTAGTTGTGTATCTCAGACAGGCACCTGTGTAGCCCAGGGCTGCAGGGGCATGTCACAGGATATATATGACACATCTCTCTGGAGTGGAAAAGATTTTGGAAGACACTAAGTAACTCAACTGGCAAGGAACTAAAAACAAAATTGTTATTTTAAAAAGTCAGAAAACTGTGGAGTAGGGGTGCCTGGATGGCTCAGTTGGTTAAGCATCCGACTCTTGGTCTCAGCTCAGGTCTTGATCTCAAGGTCCTGAGTTCAAGCCCCGAGTTGGGCTCCATGTTAGGCGTGGAGCCTACTTAAAGAAGAAAAAAAAAAAGAGAGAGAGAGAAAATGTTATGGAGTAGAATTCTATGTACTGGGCCCATGGGAGGCAGGCTGTCTGATGGGACGGCAATGTCTTTAATTCACCAAGGGGACACAAGTAAGTGCCTCAACCTGTCGGGGCCAAGCCCCATGCGGCAGGATGAGCTCACAGAAAGGACGCTAGCTTTGGCGTCAGACACAAATAGTTTCAAATCCAGCTTGGTTTCTTTGTATCAGCAGGGCAGCGGTGAATCCTCAGTGTGGGCTCCCCGTCTGGAAAATGGGGATAGTCTTGGCCCTGTGTTGCCGGAAGCAGGGAGGATTAGCTGAGGGAATGAGGGCAAAGCTGAAGGGGTGTGGCCCGGGGCCCATCCCTGATCTCCTAACCCCGAGCTCCTGAGCTCACCTGAGCTCACCTCTCTGCTTTCCCTGACTTCCTTACAAGGCTGGTGAGAGGGACGAACCACAGTAACAACAACGCTAGGGGACGCCACACACATCTCTGCGGCCCAGCCCCGTCCCATTGACTTGCTGGGGCCCCGCGATCTTCATTCACCCAAGCCTTGGGGCCAGCAGGCTGTTCGAGCTTCACTTTGTAGAGACAAACAAGTCCCTCAGCCAGGAGGTGGCAGAGATGGAACTCCAGACTTTGATGTACGGATGTTGCCCCAAGGCTGCCGCCAATACTGCTAACAGGTGGGAAAGACCTTTCTGACCTTGAGAATACCAGGCCCCTTCATTCATGCATTCCTCAAACAGGTACTGGCATCCAGGCCTAACCATGGCCACCATTAATTGAGCACCTACCATAGACCAGGCCTAATGCTGAGTTCTTGCCAAGTTGGTTTTTTCAGTGTCTCCAGAATAGATCTTAACCTTTCCCACCTCCACACCTTTGCCTCTGCCATTCTCTGTATTTGGAATGTCATCCCATCTTCCTCTCCTACTTGCCGGCTCCAGCATGCCTCCTATCTGGGTTATGGTAATTACAGCCTATCTTTGAACTCCTACTCAGCCATCAATACCCAGCTCAGGGGCCTCCACCTCTGTGAACCCTCCTGGACTCTCCCCAGCTGAGCTGATGCTCCTTCCTTCTGTCCAGCACGGCCTTGACTATTTCCCTCTTGTCATAATAATCCTCGCTCGCAGTAGTGAGCACTGCCCAGGCATCAGACACTGGGATAAGCACTTTATGGGGATGATCTTTTTTTTTTCTCAAAGATTTTATTTATTTATCTGACACAGAGAGACAGAGAGAGAGGGAACAGAAGCAGGGGGAGTGGGAGAGGGAGAAGCAGGCTCCCTGCTGAGCAGGGAGCACGATGCGGGGCTCGATCCCAGGACCCTGGGATCCTGACCTGAGCCGAAGGCAGACGCTTAACGACTGAGCCACCCAGGTGCCCCTATGGGGATGATCTTAATACTCACGGGGACCCTCTGAGGTGGACGCTGTTACCTTCCCCATGTCATAGACAAGGCAGCTGAGGTACAGAGAGAGGCTGAGAGCCTTGTCCAGTTGGTAAGGGGCAGACCAGAGGGCGTGGGGGGCTGTACTTGCCCACCCCAGGTTCGGGGTGGGGACTCATCAAAGACCTTTCAAGCCCCCGCCACTCCCCTCACCGGCCCCCCTCCCGGCCTGGCCGTACCACAATGGCAGACGTGACAGACAGGATGTTGACCACGCAGTACTGCAGGGCCACAGCGTCGTGTGGGCCAGCCACATAGCGCAGCACGGTGCCATGGAGGAGAGCGGCCGCGACGAAGCTCACGTGACCCAGCACCACCAGCACCAGCCCTGTCTTCATCAGCACCCTCCGGAAGTCCTCCACACTCAGGCCACCTGTGGGGGACAGCCACGTCAGGGCCACGGGGAGGGGGGTACGGTGCAGCCTCTGGCAGAGGAGAAGACCAAGGCCCTGGCAGGAGTAATGAACACTAGGCTCTAAGTCTGTTTCTGGATGACTTGGGGTTGGTAACTTGTCTTGAGCCTCAGTTTCCTCATTTGGAAAAGGGGTTCACAATGGCTTCATGAGAGTCTCTGGAACTCTAAGGCTAGAAAAGCACACAGGTGATATTTAATGAAGGGTCACAGTCCACCTGAGTGCTCAAGGCCCCAAGGGGCAGGGCCACAACTTGAACCTGGGTCTCTAGCTCCAGATCCATGGTCTTTCCGCTAAGCTCCCCATTCACTGATTTATTCAGGAGTTTGTTACACAGATGTTCCCCGAGTACCTGCTCCGTGCCAGGCCCTAAAGCACCATGGTGAGTTGGACATTCACTGTCCAGGCCCCAAGGAGCCCCTAGTTCATGCAGCAGGGACCAGGTCCTGCTCAGGATTCACTCTGGGGAATAGAGCCGGGCACACAGTAGATAATCAACTCACAATTGCTGAACTGACTTGGGGCAAGAAACTCAAGCCTGAGAATCCATTTCTTCATCTTTAAAATGGGAAGAATAACCCCTGTCTCCCAGTGAAGGAGGGTCCCACGAGGAGACAGTGGGAGAAGGAGGGAAGGTGGGAAGGAAGTGGGGGAAGGAGGGAAGGTGGGTGGGGCATACTGTGCAGGTGCTGGGAAAAGCA